TATGTTTTGGTCAAATTCATATTTGTATTTGGTAATATTATGTTACATTTTTGTTTTGTATTTTAAAAACTCATATTGCATTTATTTAAATATGCATTTAGGAATCTAGAATTAATGTGTTTGTAGTTTTTGTATTTCATTTTGTTTTAAATTAAAGAAATTTTATTTGATTAAATGTATTTAACCCTAAAGTTGTATTTTTGCCTTCGGTTTAAAAAAAATAAAACAATGGTTTTGGCTGTATTTAATTTTATGTAATGGTTAATGTAAAATAGTTTATTTTATGTAATATGCCTAATGAGTTTTTATTAGTAACAACTTCTTTAATTCATTCAGCTCCTCTAAAATTTGAAAGTCTGTGATTCAAAATTTTGCTTTTCTCGAAAAAAAGTTAAAGAAAATATATGAAGTCAATAATAAATCTTAAAGTTTTACAAAGAATAATGTAAGTAATAATAATTTTTCTTGTAATAACTATCTTAAAAGTTATTTTACCTATCTAGGCCTTTTTTCTTTATAAATTGATTTTTTTAATACTCCGCAATACTTAAAATAGGTACCTAGTCAAATCAGCAAGAAAAAAAGAACATTTAAGAATTTCCTTTCGAAAGATGTAGTTAGTAAAACTTTAAGTTAGTTATATATTAGTTAGATCCCTGGCCCTATACTTTTTTTAATTTACATTAACGATCTTCCAGATATTCTCACATCTAAGGTGGGATTGTTCGCTGATGACACTACCATTTATTCTTGTCATGATAAGAAGCCTACGCTCTCTGATTGCTTGGAGGGGTTATCTGAGCTTGAAAAGGATCTCACCTCTGCTACAGCATGGGGCTCACAATGGCTGGTGAACTTTATTTCAGATAAAACTCAATTTTTTTCGGCCAATCGTTATCGCAATAGTTTAGAGCTTCCAATATTTATAAATGGTAATGTACTAGATGAGTCATCTACCCTTCATCTTCTAGGATTAACTTTTACTTCTGATCTTTTTTTGAAACTGTATATCAAATCCATTGCAAAAATAACATCTGCAAAGGTTGTTAATCGTCGTGTGTTGAGTTTGGAAGTGACTCTTCCAGATATATATATATATATATATATATATATATATATATATATATATATATATATATATATATATATATATATATATATATATATATATATATTATAATAGCTTATTGTTTTTTAATTAACTAATATATAGTCTTTCATTCATTTACTTACTTATCTTAAAAATAATCAAATATAAAAAACGTTTAAAGTTAAGAATAGTTTTGATCTTTACTAGTGTGATTCTATCGCTAAGTTTCTTAAATCTGATCAATCATTTCTCGATACAAATGTTGCAAAAAGTAGTTATTTTTTATTATGGTTGAATGTTTAGTTTTATTTATAAGGGTAAATTACTATCGTAAATTAAATAAAAAATTTTAATCTGTAATTATATACATAATGCTCACTTTACAAATAAACATAATTTACACAAAATTTTTGAATTGATTAAAACACTAATGAATTGCTTTAATGCCCAATACAAATTACACTAAATTGTCCCATTCAATTATTAAATGTTGGTGGCTCATGTAGTGCATTTGAGAAGGGCATGCTTTCAAAGTAAGTATATTTTTACTATAAATAGAGCATTTTTAATACCGCATACTTGATATACATAAATATATACGCTGGTCACAACAATCCAGTCAAAAATTTCTTTAAAAAAATAAATTTAGTGTTGAGAAATTTGTATAATTTGATGTTTGATGTTATGTTTGTAAAATAATAATTATATATATATGTGTGTGTGCGTGCGTGCGTGCGTGTGTGTGTGTGTGTTATTTATTTCTTTCCCCTTTATTTTACATACTTATCTTGACAATATTTTTTTAGGGTTAAGACCGCTCCCCTGATTCCTACAGCAAAAAAAAAAACTTAAAAATGCTGGTGATAATATTTTAATGAGTGCACCTGATAGAAAAGAAGGTGAATGACGTCAACTGATCGAACATTCGATTCTTGGAAATAAACAAGTGGAAGAAGAAGTTTATGAAATTGTAATTTATAAAACTCAGCACAATTATATTATCAAAAATTTTAAACGATTTAATATTTTTTTTCTTATTCTCAAGAAGTTCTGTGAAAACATATATTTGAACCTTACGTTTAAGTTAAGCCATGTAAAAACACGTATTTTAGACGTCGAAATGAGAACGTATAAATTAGGTTATTTAAAGACGTCATTTGGCGTTTCCATTTACCACTAGTTCTGAACGTCCTAAATTCACTTATTTTAGACGTCTAAAAACACGTCTTTAATCCGTTCTAAAAAGACGTCCTAATTACGTCTTAAAAAAACGTCATCTGGCGTTGCCATTTAGAACCAGTTCCGGACGTCCTAAAAAGACGTCTTTTCGACGTCATATGGACGTTTCCGTGCCCGCTGGGATATGGTAATATATGGTTAATAAATCAAGTAGAAAATTTAGGAAAAAAAAAAAAAGATATAATATTTAACAATACATATAGTGAATAAAGAAAATATAGTAATATATATATATATATATATATATATATATATATATATATATATATATATATATATATATATATATATATATATATATATGTATATATATATATATATATATATATATATATATATATATATATATATGTATATATATATATATATATATATATATATATATATATATATATATATATATATATATATATATATATATATATGTATATATATATACATATATATATATAGTTAAAAAGATATAATATTAATAAATACTAATAGTCACAAAAAGTTATAAAAGAATATATTTAAATACAAATTCCCAATTACATATATGATATTATATTCAACATATAATATATAAAGATTACATATAATATTTAAAAATACAAACTGTTAAATAATCAGATAAAATGCTAAAAAAAAATTTTTTGTAAACAAAAGTAAAAATTAATCCGTAAGATTTAGAACGTAATTTTTTGTTTGAAACTGAAATGAATTTAAAGATTTTGCCATATTTAAATTGTCTTTCAGAAAAGAGTTCTATAGCTTAGGACCTCTATAAGTTATACTATATTCTGTGTATTTGTTTACTTTTTTAGGTAATTTATATGTGTTACTTTGATTTATTTTTAAGAAATACTTCTCATTTAAATTTTTATTAAATTTACTTATGGAGATTTCAAGAGTTAGATTATTGGTATATTTATACATAAAGTATAGGTGTTGGAAAATATTTATCTGATATATGTTCATCATTTTCATATCCATCATTAAAGGTTTAGTGTGGTCCCCCCCTTTTTTTGTTGTATATAATTCTACAAGCATGTTTTTGTAAGGAAAGAATTTTTTTAAGTTTTGTTGGTGGACAACTTTTGTTGATTGGACAACTTTTGTTGGTTGGACAACTTTTGTTGGTTGGACAACAACAAACAAAGATTAAAACCTTCTCTATTTGAAAACGTTGTCAACTTTACGAGGTCATAAATTTTAAACGTTCAAATAATTTTTTATAATATAAAAATTATATAGATGAATTTTAGTCGCTAGAGTTTTTTTTTAAAACGCTATTTTTCTCCCCTTCCCAAAAAACATGTGTGACCTAGATCTTTGATTTTATTATTTCTTCTAACGCTTGAATCATTTATAGCAGTTTACATTCTTCACCTTTAAATAGACAACCATGCAACTTGTTGGTTGGTGTTTTTTGCAAGTTGGTTCTACTGGTTTTCCGATAAAAAGGCATCCATAGATTGAAAATATATTCTGCTTGTATTTCCACAAATTAGATAAAGTTCCATTCGAGCAAGTAATAACCTTTACGCCATCAAGTAGATCAACTTATGGATCGTTAATGCAATTAATATAAGATGCAGCTGAAAGCTTGGATTTCTTTTTTAAACCTTTACAGGTTACTTTGTAAGCATTAGGTGATAAACGAATACTTCCAAGAGTTCTAAGCTCACCAAGAGTTTAAAAACCTTTTGAAAAATAATGGCAACTAAGATTTTATTACCTTTTAAGATTTGTTTAGCATTTGGAAACGATATAAGCAATACTAATCAATTTTTTAATTTTTTAAAGGTTTTTTTAAATACTACTTTTAAAGGTTTTTTTTAAATACATTTTATTTCATTAAATGAAATAAACAAATAAAAATAAAATGAGTTGACAAACCTCTCAAATAGGGGGGTCTCAAACTTATTTTTTGGTCGCCATTTTCAAACGATTAGAATTTTTTTTAGATAAAATAATTTTTCGGATGAATTTTGATCTTTTTCAAGACATAATTGAACAAAAAGTTATTTTTTTCTTTATTCTACATTTGGGGCAGTGGGTCCTGATTTTTCAGGTAAATATTGTTCTGACAATACACAATCTCCAATCAAAGTAATTTTTTAAAGCATTTTTTTAAAATACCAATATTAGGATTACAAAAGTTGAATAATTTCTGAAAGTTACGTTATACTTTTTCTTAAGTTATCTTAAACACTAAAACTTATGACCTGTCTGTTTAATCCCCTTTTTTTGTAAAAAACGTCAACAGATTATTTTCAAATTTTAGCTTATAACTGTAAAAAGTTTCCATAACTACCATTTTTAATAATTCTTATGATAATTCTTTTCATAACTACCATTTTAATAATTCTTAAAATGCCAGTATTATATTACAAATACCATACTGTTTCTGGTAGATATTTTTATAAAAATAAAATGTTTTCGCTACGGTGTATTAAATAACAATTTAATGAAAAAAATGCCATTATTATAAAGAAACATTTCTGGGCTTTTAATAATAAAATAGTTAACTATATATTTTTTATTTCAAAGTTTAATTTAAGAATATTTTTTAAATAAAATAAATTTAATGAATTCTAAAAGAGAAACCAAAATTCAATTAAACGTTTTATTCGATAAAAAAACTACTAAACTTGTAAAATACTGTAATATATATTTTTCATCTTACATGTAATTGTCGTGTTCAATTCCATATTTGATGTTGTTTTTATTATTCATTTTAAAAGCAGCCTTTGAAGTTACAAGAGAGGTACATATATCAGAAACAAGTGTATTTTCTTTGTTAGGGTCATTAGTATCTTTCCATCGATATTGATTGATGCCCTAAAATCAAAACTTTTAAATTAATGGAGTTAAATAAGTATCAAAAATTTTTGATACTTATTTAACTCCAAATTGTAAGAAGAAAATATTTATAAGTTGATAAGAAATGAAGAAATTACCTGTGGCATATGTATTTCTGCCCGGTGTTTTTGATTACGTGATCCCTCTGCTTGACATGCAACTCCCCCACTACAAACTGCTCCGCAAAACGGACACTGAGCAGTACATCCGATCCTTTGTTCTTGCAGAGCCGTCAATGGATTCACAACAAACCAATTGAGCAATCTCTGAGCAAGTAAAGACTTCTGGGAAAAAAAAAACATTATATGAAGGTTCATATATATAAAAATGTTTATTGGCTGTTTACAATATTTTGAAATTTGCTTTCAGTATACTTGAAATTTCAGTATATTTGAAATTTGCTTTTATTATGAGAGTAAAGAGAGTTATTTTGAGTCTTGATTTATATCTTTATACAACTTTAAATGTTTTAAGACGTATTACTACTACTACTACTACTACTACTACTACTACTACTACTACTACTACTACTACTACTACTACTACTACTACTACTACTACTACTACTACTACTACTACTACTACTACTACTACTACTACTACTACTACTACTACTACTACTACTACTACTACTACTACTACTACTACTACTACTACTACTACTACTACTACTACTACTACTACTACTACTACTACTACTACTACTACTACTACTACTACTACTACTACTACTACTACTACTACTACTACTACGATTGTTACTTACTATTCATTGAGAATTTTAAAACGCATTTGTAGAAAAAGCATAAAATTTTGACATTTGCTTTTATACATACATCTTTTTCGTCGTCTGAATCAGAAATGTTCATTTCAGTAGATGACTGAAGGATCTGCTTTAAAACGTAAATTTCAAATGAAGGTTGATTAAGTGATTTTATCATAGTTTTTAGAGTATATGGAAAGTTATTGATGCTTTCCAGTTCGCTTATAACGTCATTCAAAGGAAGCTAGAAAATAAAGGTTGTAAAAACAAGTAATTTGGAAATTGAAAAATGAAAATAATTATTAAAATTTTTAAGACAAACAAAAACGGAAGCTATTATGTTTATATACTAAGTTAAATAAAACCAGCTTTTTCAATAAATTAAGATGTTATGCTAAAAATCCTTACAATATATATTCAAAACATTTTTAAGGTTTTAAAACCACATTTTAAACTTATTCTGAATTATGAAAGTTTGATTATTTTGGTATTTATAAACTATTCAAAAAAATAAAATTTTTCATTAAAATTTTTTTCATTGGTAATATTTTGTTTTTATGCAGGGTTATTTTAGCTCCTTTTTTTACTTTTTTTGAAATTGGAGTATTTTTAAACAATTTAAATAAGTATATACCCAACAATAGATATGTCATATAATATCTGTTCTAATTATATATATATATATATATATATATATATATATATATATATATATATATATATATATATATATATATATATATATATATATATATATATATATATATATATATATATATATATATATATATATTAAGTATTTACAAAATTCAAATTATTAGTTTAATATGTGTATTAATAAACAACATTCAATAATAATAACAATCCCAATTTTTTTTATTAATACATCTTTCATAATCTTAAAAATCATCTTTAAACAAACGTACATAAAATATCATACAAAAAGAAAGGAAAGAAAAAAAAAAGAAAAAAGAACTTTAAACTAAAAAAAATAAAATAAGAACACATAATAAACTTAGATAAAGATAAAAAAAAATAATGAAAAAAAAAAAAACAAAACGAAAGTGAAGTAAACAAATAAAAGAAAAATTAAAAATAAAAAGTAAAAAAAAAAAGAAAAAAAAGAAGATATAATAAGTAAATTAAGAAAAAAAAAAAAAGAAGAAAGAAGCAATAGTAAAACTAGAAGATTGTAGTGAAATTTAGGAAGAATTTAGTTTGTTTATTTTATAACACTTTTAGTTTAATGTAATTAATCTCATTTTAATCATATTCTTTTTCTAGCATTGTTTTGTTTATTTTTCATGAAGTTTTTGTTTTTAAATTTATTGTTTATTATTGTATATACTTATTATTATTTTTGTTGTTATTTTTATTGTTATTATTATTGCTATTATTTTATTATTATTATTATTATATATCTATATAGTTTGTTAACTTAGTTACTTTAGCTTTAGTTGGTAACTTATAATACTAAGTATATACCTAATAATTTATTATTATATTTTAACTTATTATAACTAAAATAATTTACTTATAATCATTCATAATTTTTATTAATTTAATATAATTTATTTTATTTTATACTTTTAACTTATAACTTAACTAATTAAACTTGTTAATAATATATATTTTACGTTATTTTTCCCTTAATAATTGTATTTTTTTCATTATTCATTTTAGTTGTTAAGTAAATATTATTTTTATTTTGCTATTTTATTAATAAAACTATATTTATATTATTAACAAATACTGTTTTTATTTTTAATATTTTTGGTTATAAGATTGTTCATATTACTGTTTGAGTCCTTATTTCAATACATTGAATCATTTCATTTTATAAACTGTACTACTAAAATGTCTACTCACTGCAAAGATTGTTTCAAAAAAGTTAATACAAACCATCACTACCTTCAATGTAATCATTGCCTTAACCTTTTTTATAAAAAATGCTGTCGTCTGAATGATATGAAATACAGGATAATAAAATACTCTAAAACATCTTGGTTTTGTATTCATGTAGAAAATATTTTTCCATTAGTTCTTTATCTGAGAAGAAACTCCGTCTGCAAACAATAAATGATGAAGGGATTCATATTAATGAACTCTAAAACAATATATCATTTTTTCGAAACATCATAGAGTCTAATCTTTACAATGAACTTTATAACTTCATTTACCATCAATTTAACAACAACCTCGAAGAAAACCCTATTATTTGTAAATATATGGACATATGTTTCAACTCTGCCAACATGAAAAAAAATTAAACTCACTTTTATCTTATATTAACCATGAATTCAGTATTATTGGCATAACTGAAACTAAAAAAATGAAATTCTACCATCTATCCTATTAAATCTTACCGGTTATGTTTATAAGCACACTCCAACAAAATCTTATTTTGGAGGAGCTTAACTGTATATATCTAATACCTTAATTTACAAACCTCGAAACGATATTAAAGTTCTTTAACTAAAGTTTTTTAGAATCTGTGTTTGTGGAAATCACCAGTCCTAAAAAATTAAACATCATTATTGGCTGTATGTATCGCTATCCTATAATGAATATTTTAGAATTTATTAAATCATATTTAGTTCCACTTATTTGAAAAGCCGTCTATAGAAAAAGGCAAAACAATTTTTTTAATGGGCAATTATAGTGTCAATCTTTTATTAGCAAACTAAGAAAATTTTGTCTCTGAATTTTTAACACCATTTTATACAACCTTTAAATAACTTTCTTCTCTTTATTTCATTGCCAGCAAGAATCACGAATCACTCCAAAACTCAAATTTATAACATATTTTCTAATGCAACTCCTACAAATATTTTTACCGGTAATTTTCTTTTATGGTATCAGATCCTTTACCCCAATTTTTAATGCATCCATTTTATAGAACCAAAATTAATTCTCGTATGTGCGACGTGCGACGAGTTATGTACTGAATTCTCAAAAATTAGCTGGACTAATGTAATCAATATTAACGAAGGTAAGATTATAAGTCATTTGAAAAGTTTTTCACAAGTTTCAATTCTCTTTTAGATAAACATGCACCATTATAAAAAGTAAGCAATCGCTGCTTATCAAGAGATCTCAAATCTTGGATAGCACAAGGAATCTTGACTTCAATTAAAATACAAAATAAAATAATAACAAATTTATTAAAACAAAGTACCCTAATAACAAACTCAATCTAAAAAAATTTTATAAAACATGTAGAAACTTATTTGTTACTCTCACCTGTCGTAGTATAAAGAACCATTACTCTAATTTCTCTTCTGATAATGCCAATTATTTGAAGTTTACATGGGAAGGTGTTAGAAATCTTTTTAACATTAATCGAGAGTTACCTCATATCTGTCCTGATTATTTTCTTACAATTTCATGATAAATGATCCATTAAAATTTCGGAATCTTTTAATTCATTCATTGTTTCAGTTCCGGAAGAATCACAGAAAAACCTTCACTCATCCAATACTAACTTTATTAAATACCTTAAAAATCCTAATCTAAAATCAATATTTATAAAACCTACAGACAAAAACGAAGTATTATATATTGTTCATTCTCTTGCAAATGATATCTCTCCTGTACTATCTGAACTATTTAATCTGTCATTCATCACCGGTGTTTTCCCTGTATTCTTGTATTTACAACTTTTAAATAACTCTGTTTTCATATTTTAACAGTTTGGGTATTGCTCAAATCACTCCACTTCTAATGCTCTTATTAGCATTGCTGAAATGATTCGTGGTGCAATTGACATTGAACTTCAAAAAGCTTTTGATACGGTTGATTACAACTTTCTAATAAAAGAGTTAAACTACTACGGAATACGTGGTATTGCTAATCGTTGGTTTTATTTATATACTTGGGATCGCACTCAGTTTGTTTCAATTAATGAATTTGAATCCACTCATAAAGTTATTAAATATGGCGTTCCGCAAGGTTCCGTTCTTAAAGCGTTGTTGTTTTTATTTTATATAATTGATTTATCTTGTTCATAAAAAAATTCTGTGGTACATCATTATGCTGATGATACCAATCTTTTATATATTAACAAATCACTTACGAAGATCTTAATTAACTTTTTTACTCTCTGTGTAAAAAAGTTAATTAAGATCTTCATAGCTTATGTAATTGGTTAAATATTATTCGTATTCCATTAAATGTTAATAAAACTGAATACATTATTTTTCATTTCCCTCAAAAAATTATTGATAATATTAAAATTAACCTAAAAAAATTTTTTCCGTTGGAGTATATCTTGATGAAAACCTATCTTGGTATGATCAACTGCATCATCTTAAAAAAAAACATACACGAGCTAACAGTATGCTTTCTCTGATTCGTTACTATGTTCTGTGCAAACCCTTCGAATAATTTATTCTTTTATATTCTTTTCTTATCTTTGCTACTGTTGTATTGTTTGGGGTCAAAAAAATAACTTTTTACTTACTAGCATTGCTAGTTTACAACGCGCATATATTAAAATAATGACGTTTTAACCAATAAGATCTGATATCCAAAAAAAATTTTCTTAACTAAAAATCCTGAAATTCCATGATCTTGTAAAGTTTTACAATTGTCTCTTTGTGTTTGACTTAAATAACTAATAATAGACTACCAAACTCTTTTTTAATTTTTTTTTATTAAAACATATGAAATTTGCAATCATCACATCAGCAATACAGAAAATAATGAGCTATACTCTTCTTTTCTCAAAACAATTAAATATAGTAAGTTTTCCATAAAATAACAATGTATTTTCCAATAAAACCAGTGCATTCCTGCATTAATAAAAAAATTAAAAAAAAAAAAATTCCCTTGTTACGGATTATTTACTGCTCAACAGAACTCAATTTAAAAATATATTGTTGGAGTGTATTTCTTTATAATTTCTCTGTGCGCTGAAGTTATCTTTGGTATATAATTTCTTTATCAAACGAGTGGTTTGATTTTTGCTTTATTCATTATTTATCTATATTATATTTATTTATAGTTGTGTTATTATTGCTACATTTTATGTATTTTATTTTATGTATTATCATATTTAATTATTATTTATGATATGTGCATACAATTTATATTGTATTATAATTATTCTTAATAATGTTGATACTTTTTATTATTTTTATTATTTTGTATTATTACTATAATTATTACATATATCATTATTATTTGTTCAACAATCTTTTTTTCTCTCTCTTTCTTATTCATACTTATTATGTTTTTTAAATGTCACTCCATTAACTAGTTTGTAACAATATGAGTGACACCTAACTAAATTCTAATAGTTTTACGATGAGCATTTATATATTTCTATTGATATTATTAAATAAAAAATAAAAAAAATAAAAATAATTTACCTGATAAAGTATTTCTTTTGCTTTCATTTTTTCATTCACCGCTTCCCACCAAGATTTTGGGTTTGTGTGAATAGCTGAAGTTTCAATATTTCTCAGGATGTCAGAGATTAAAAGAACAATCGACTTTATCTTATTGTTAATGCAGTTTGTAAGAAAATTATTTTTTAAGCAATGTTTGGTGACCTTTTTGAAATTAGAATAATTGTATGAAAGTTTAAATTTTTTAAAGTACGATTTAGTTAATTAGGCTTTTAAATATCATTTAAATCATAAATTTTTAATATATGAAATACTTTCTAGTTTAAATAGTTTTATTTTAATTGCCTTTTAATAATTAGTTATAGAAGTTTAATTAAAAAAAAATTATAAAACCTTTTTACCTCTTTCTTGATCCAATTTTTGACGTACGTATTGTAATCATTAATAAAAGACTGAACTTGACTGTATGGTGCCTTAATAAGCTCTTTAAGAATGTAGTACATCATCTCGTTTTTCATATTGAACTGAGGTCTGCAGATTATTGAATCAAAAACTAAAGGTCCTATTGATAGTTTTACCTGATTCTCAATAATTTTGCAAAAAGTAAAGTTAATAAATCGTTCCCCTGCTCTTGCATCAGAGTCAGCAGCGTGACATTCAGTTTGAAATTCGTTAAACAAATCACTTTTTTGATTATCAAGGTATTTTGCATATGAATGGATCTTACTATGTTCTTGGCGCAACAATGCCATCTTCTTCACTGAAGCTCCAAATATTTTAATAAGGAATTCGAATTTAAATGCTTTACTGAATTCAAAATTATTAGATAGTGGTTTTAAAATATCTTCATGGGACTGATGTAAAATATCAGCAATAACCTCTGAATAACTAAAGTTAGTAGCAGACTTTTCTCGGCTGTCTTTGATTATGCTTTTTACTTTCTCAATAATTAAATTTAATTTTGAGTTTGCCTCTTTTAAGTCATTATGCCAGTCTTGTTTCACAAAATTTTTGTAAATCTGTTTAATTCGACACGAAGTTAAGGTTATATCACTTTGAGATGTCAGATGAATATTAAAAAGACTTTTTTCATCATTTTCTTCAATTTTTTTTATTGAATTGAAGTATGAATCGACTTTATTAAACAACTCTAAATCACTTTTTGGGTGAAGCAGATGTAGCTTTTGAGTTAAAATATTTAACGAATCATACCATGTTTTGACATACAAACTGTCTAACGACTTATAAGAGTTTTTGTCATAGTTGCAGGCTTCAAGCATCCACTGTTGGAACATGTTTTCAAACTCTTTTATAACAATAGTTTTATCAATGGAAATTCCAGATTTATTCTTTAGGTCACTTGCTATTTTTCTAGCTTCCATTAAACATTTTTTTCTGTATTGTTGTCTTTTTATTGGTGTAATCTTTTCATTTTGGCATATTGAATTAATTTTTTCATTTTTTATTTCTTTTTCTTTTTCCAGCCAAATAGTAACTTTTTTAGTCATGTCTACAAAGAATGTAGACAAATGAGTAGCTGCCAAATCCGGGTCAGGCATTTTAAAAACATGAGCTCTTAAATTTTCCTTAACTTTTTCCTGTAATAACTCAATTTTAGGCAAAACCTGTTGTTCAAATTTTCTGTTGTATATTCTAAATCCCTCATATTCATTCTTCAATTCTGTGTTTTCTTGAAAAAATTCTTCTGCAACTTGATATGAGAGCTCATAAAAACTTTTTCTAAGTTGAGCAAGTTCTTTGTCATAAAGCCTTTGTACTTCTCCAAACACAATAATAGCGTGACTGTTTTTAAAGCCAAAAACAAAATTTTCTTGTTTAATTGCTTCCCAAATATCTGACAGGCGAGCAATAAATTCCTGAATAGGTTGAGTTCTTAAAGTTGTATTTTGATATTTTATCAGAGCATCACAAATTGAATTCTTTAACTCTTGAACAATTTCACCATACCTAGGTTCAGGTGTATTCATGGAACCTTGCCAGAGAGCAGGAAAGAATTCAGGAAAATCGAGTTTATCAAGCTGCTCATGAATTAAAGGAAAAATGGATGACAGACCACTTAAAATGTCAATTCTTCCTTCATCGTTTGCAATTTTTAGAATCATAATATTGAGCTCGTCAAGTATCTTTTTAACACCAAGTCTGTTTTTTTCTTTTGCATTAATATCTGGTACACCAGCAAAAATCATATGAAATGAAGATTTAATTTCAATTTTTTTCATTCTGATGTACGCATGTGCTGCAATTTGCACGATGTCTGACATTTCTTTGCTAAATGTTTGACCCCAAAAATTTATAATAGTTGCGTTTGCCAAACATGTCACAAGAGTTGCAATTTCGTTATCATGTCTAAAAGAATCTGTCATTTCTGGAGATCTTAAACCTTCCGAGTCCATTATAATAAAGTAGTCACAGTTCATTTTTTGACGAAGATTTTGAGACACTGAAACCAGTTGAATAAAAACTCCCTTGGTGCATCGTCCAGACGACACTGCAAATTTAGAACCAAACATTGTGTTAAGAAAAGTTGATTTACCACTACTTTGGATACCCAAAATTGATAGCACAAAAACATTAACATTGCCAATTTTCTTTTTAACTTCCATAAAAACCTTTTGAATCCAAACTAATGGTACATGAACAGCATCACCATCCATAATTTCTAAAGGGTAACCTATCAAAAAAAGTTCAGCCATCAGAATAGGAAGGTCGGAGACAATTTTGTTTTGGTTCTCCTCTTCGTAACTTTCATAAACTTGACCCATTTCTCTAAATATGTTTTCAATTCCAAAAGAGGCATTTTTAAACTTTTCAGACAATATATTTATTTTTTTTTTTTCTTCTGTAATGAGTTGTTGCATAACATTTTCATTCATATTATCTTTAGAACATTTCTTTTGTGTTTCTAATTGTTTTATCAGACTTGAGAGCTGTTTTGCTGAGCTGTTAAAATCACTCAAGATTTTAGGCAAGTATTTCTCTGACATTGCATTTAATTCTATTTGGCACCATTGAATAAAGTATCTTTGGATGCATGTATTTCTAAATTGTAACATTTTTTTTAAGAAAAATTCAATTTCCTGACTTAACCCTTTTTTTAACTGGCTTTTTCTTAATTGTTTCTTTTTGTCTCTCAATTTACTGCTGTACTGTTGTGGATCTGCATCTCCCCTATATTGATGTCTTGACTCCTCTTTATCAATAGTTGCCCATTCTATCCAATCACTTCCTTGAAGAGGAACAACAAAGGATTTTAGGGAATCAAGATCATATTTTTTGATCTGGTTTATAAACTCTTCAGCAGCTTTCTTTCCTGTTTTGCAATCCACATTCATTTCATCAATTAAAAAACCAAATGATAATGCAAGGTCAGCTTGATTTTCGAGTGAATTTAACTTTTGAGAAACTGGTGGAATATATTCAATTAAAGTTTGCGAGAGTATATTTTGGTTTATATTTTGTGCATATAAACAGACTTTTTTATTCTTAGTTGTTGAAATTCCTTCTTGAGCCAAATTTATCAAAATGACCCAACCGTCAAAGAACTTCAGTGAATCAATTTCTTCTTCATTTAAAGCTGTATTTTCTATTATAATTACCAGTACGTAAGAAACACTCAGTAGAAACTTGAACTGTTTCATGTTATCTCTAACATCTCCTCTTAGATTGTAAATAGCATGGATATCTTTAAGGTGTTCTCTTGGCCTTCCTTCTGGGCAATACCAACATGCTTCAATGCATCCCCTGTTCAGTTTCTGAACAGAGTCAATTCCTCTATGAAGAAAATATGAATGCTCTGGCCAGCCTTGAGCTGAAGACAAGAACAAGTTTGCAAGTATTGATTTTGACAATGACAATTTGTTTTCACCAATCCTACAAAATGAAATTGTCCCCATTTGCGCACCAGAGATAAACTCATCGTGAGCAACTTGTTTTGGTATAGCTGTTACCCATTTTTTTTTAACTGTTCTCATGCCCCACAAATTAAAAAAGAAATTACTATCCCTTGATGTTAGAATTGGCACAGCTAACTGACAGGAGGTCATTTTTTCAAACACATCTTGCAATAGAAAATCGTCGCAGTTAAATAGGGTTTTTTGAATAAGATCTGTGCTACTATTTTCTTTTCTTGATTGTTGAGGTGAAGAGTTTTTTTTTGTCACTTGAGCAAAAAAATCATCTTCGTCATTGCATTCTTGTATAGAAGTTTTTTTAGCACATTGTGATCTTGTTTGATCTCTGCAGTGGAAATCTAATGAAAGAAGTTGCCTGAGAAACTTTAGTTGCTTTTCAGTTTCATTTGTATCATTAAAATTAAAAATATCCACAGAAAATACGTCCTCCATATGATACTTATGTGCTGGGTCTTTTTCAAAAAAATCACTATACGAGTGATTTGATTTGGATTTTGTTTTTTTAAGTGGCTTTGGCATAACAAATGGTAACTTTTTATTTATGATTTTAAAGTTATCTTTTTTCTCTGCAATGACAAACTTGTTATTATCTGATGTTGTCTCTATTGGACACCATGATTTTTGTAATAAAGCATTTTCTTGGTAACTTAGATTTGGGTACAAACTGAGCTCCTGAAGTGCAGAAAGTATTCTATTTTCTAACACTTCCTCAAACATATTTTCATCTTTTAGTTTATCTAAAGCAAAGTTAATGTTATCTAGCATTTTTAAAAAAGAATCACTATCTGGTCTCTCAAAGCTCTTTGTTTCTGAATTATATCCATATTGACAAAAGATGGACTCAAATAAATCTGCAATTGATATGTTTTTATGTAGTTTTAACATTTTAAGCAAATTTATAGTTATACCATTAACTTCATTAAACGTAACTAGTTTTTCATTTTCCTGTTTAAGAACAAAATACATTTTTTTCAACATATGCTTTACCTTCGCTATAATTTCTTCAAAAGAAGGAGAAGTATTCTTATTAAAAACTGATAACCTCATGTTTTTAGGCAAATCAGCAGATAAGGTAGTTATTTTAGTCTGTTGCGATGGAGTTACTCCAAAATTTGTAACACCTTGCAGAATGATGCAGTATGTTGAGTTGCAGCTCAACTTTTCAAGCGTGAGTTGCATTGCATCATTATTGTTTGCTTTTTGAGACCATTCTCTGATACTTGAATCATTTTCCTTTGCAGTGATTAGGTAACGTGTGACATACTCAGCACCTTTTTTTGGTTTATTCCAGGTAATTGAAACAGTTTCGCATGAGATTTCTTTGATGGTAAAATTTTCAGGTTTTGTTGGTAAAGTTGGACAAGTTTGTTGGATACCATTTTTGAACAATTTAATTTCAATAGGAGATGAATTTTCGTTTTTACCTTGAAGAGAAATGTCTTCTGTACAAAAGAATGCGAGCCCTTTCCTATCCTTGTTTGCTATTGCAAATTTATTAAAACTTTTAGCTGTTTCAAATGCAACCGAAAATGTTTCACTATTAGAACTAATGTAACTCGTTTTTGAAATGACATTGTGACTTTTATAAGATTGTAGCTCTTGAATAAAAGTGTCATTTGTAATTATAGTGTTGATTGCAAGTATAAATATAATATCTTTTTTTCCGTTCAAGATTTCTTTGTTCGTACTGCCTATATTAATGTTAGTAAAAAGTTTTAACGTTTTTGACAAAAATGCTGCAATATCATTCGTCTTATTTAGCCATTTTTCTAGAAATAATTGAAGTGATAAAGAAGGTACGCTACTTGTTTTTAAAATTTTTATAATAATATCACTTTCTGAGATTTTTTTTCCTAAAATCTTAACACACCTAACAATTTCTTGTTTAAACAATGGAAAGCTTACTAAGCACGGAAGCTTGCATAAGTCGTTAAGTTTGACTATAGTATCAAAAATGTAATCAGCGTTGTTAAATTTTTTTGTTAAACTGAAGTTAGTATCAACAGATTGATAAAGGATATTTGGCATACTGACTAGAAAAACTGTTGTAGGAGCTTCTTTAGCTTCTGTTCCTTTATCAAACTTATTGCAGAGTTTTAGAATATCTTCAAATTCAGAAGACACTGTCTCAACACCTCCATAATTAATTTTCCACTTAACTTTCTTTGCCATTTGTAATTCACTGTTAGAGTACTTTTCAATTTCAGCTGAGCTTAAAATCTTTTTGACAAAAGCATTTAGCTCATTTAAACCTGTTTCTTTGTCATGATCGCGCTTCAAATCAATGTTGATTATGGTTCTCCAACCATACTTAACTCCAACTATAATATGGCTAGCATTGTTATTACTAAGAAGATCTGAAAAATTACAACATTTTAGTAAGGATGGTGAAATCTTTTCTATTTTAGTTACCTTTTCAAGAACAATTATTAAGTTGATAGATTTTTGGAACTCTTCAGACTTTTTTAAAAAAGTTGGATGTTCTGCCAGATTATCTAAGCCAGAGAAAACACTCAATTTCAGCTGTTCAAAAACACCCTGACTTTTTAGATTTTGGATCCAAGACTCGGTATGATATATTTCCGATGTGGATGAAACATTCTTAGAATGAAATTAAAAAAATTTAATTAATATAAGCACATGTTGGCCTTACCCAACACTATAATATTAGTAACTATTGAAAATAGCCTATTTAAATTATATTTAACCAATTGATAATTTAAAAAGTTATAGGCATTACAATGCCTAAAACATTTTAAATAATTATTATGAGCATTAAAACATTAAAAATATTATTTATTTTTTGCTATATTACAATTAAAATGATAGTTCTTTTAAAAATTTTTAATCATTATATAAAATAACTTAGATAATTCTAAAAAATCTGGTTTTGACACTGCTCTATTTCAAGGTTTTCGGTTAAAGATATTTTTACTTCAAGTTTTTTTATGCTATTCTTTTTAGTTGATTAACATATGATAAAAACAGTTGAAAACGAATTAAAAATGGCTTTTTTTTAAAATGGTTTTTGAACTTTTTATAAAAACGTTTTTCTGCAATTTGGGATTCTAAACTTTGTGTGTGTATTTTTATACTTTGATGAAATTTGTCAAAATATAACGAAATAAACACAGACAAGATTTTTTTATTGAAAAAATTTAAAAAGATTCAAAAATCTAAAATAAAAAAATCAGATGAATGAAAAGCCGCAGTATTAATATTATAACTTGACATAAAAAACTTATTGTATTTTTTAAATATAAATATATTATTTATGATCATCTTCGGGCCCACGACACCGAAGGGAAAAGGCAGGGGGCGCGTGCTTACCTACCTTTTTTCTAAAGGACCTTTTTTTTTTTTGAAATATAAGAAAATTCTAAATATTGACGACTTTTTTAATAATTGTGCCCCCTTACTTCAAAACCCGTGTCGTCGGCCCTGATCGTACTATCTCATTGAACTTAATTAAACAACCACAGCTCTTTACCTTTTCCCAAGTTTGAAATTTTTCTTAGATACAGTAAAACTTTTCAATTTTTACATTTTTATGGGTTGTTTAGTATGTTTGTTCTGAAGAAACACAGGCATGAACTTCTGTCTTTCAGGATTTTTAAATATTTTGAGATAGTATTTGAATATGTAGCTTCCATTTTATTAAAATCTTGTAAATACATCATGGAAATATAGTTTTAAGTGAAACATGGACTCCATTAACTTAAATAATTTTTAGTTGTAGGATTATCAAATTTTAATACTAAAAAGTGTTAAAATCATTTAAAAAACAATGAGGTTCCCAAGGAACTTAATACATTCCAGATATTCAATTAGACAATCGAGAGTCAATTTATCCAAAGATTTTAAAACATTGGCATAGTTTAGTCCATCAAGCCTGTTTGACCATTTAAGCAATGCCTGATTACAGTTTTTTTTTTCAAAATGTTGAAAAGAATTTCAGGCTTTCAAATGTAAAAAAGGAAATCAATAATTTTACTTAAATGTTTTATTATATTTAGATTGTAGAGTTTGACAGTAATAAAATATGCGTGTTTAATAATTCCCTTAGTCAATTTTTATATTACAGACATGGATTAATAACATTCTTTGTCATATTGAATCATTAAATTTTAATAGAAGGAGTTTGTCCTCAAGTTGGAAGATTTATATACTGTCACAAACAATGCATTTGTTTTTTTAGCGTGTCAGAAACAGTTTTTTCAGCAACAAATGGGTTCTTTGATGTAATTAAGACATAGAGTTTTTAAATAGATGCTTTTTGTGTTGAAAAAGTACCAGGACCGAATATTTAACAGTACGAGGACCGAATACTTAACAGTATTCTGAGAAAAGCGAATTTATAGTTTTTTTTTAAAATGAAATCGATTCAGGTTCTTTGTATGTGAATTCAAAAAATTAAAGTTTCGACTACTTCAAGTGCACTGCTCTAAACAGCTGATAGCACAATAGAAGTTGCCATCTTTATGCTTCTTCCTTCTAACCTTTAAACTTGACGACAACCATTTAACTAAGGAGTCTCTACATCAATAAATAGCCTTACCTTTAATTTTAAGTTTAAGTTTTTCTTGCAAATTTTACAATGTTCAATCAAATGAAAACTTTTATTTAAAATAAATCAAGGGTAAATAATGTCTTTGATCAGTTAATCCATTTTTCGTTTTTATTGACACAATTAAAACAGGTTAATCTCCTAGTTTCTTAATAAAGTCATGCTCTTTTTTAAACTAAACGTTTTGCTTAGTATTTTTTATTATTTGTTTTGATCAATCAATATTCTAACAAATTATTTGTTTGAAACAAATCATCAGACATTTTACTTTTTACTTAAAAATTGCACTTTTGATTTATAGCATTCAATTCTCTAATTTATAAATTCATGAAAGTAATTCTAAAATAAGTTTAAATACCTTTTTATATAGTTTATTACCTAATAAATAGTGTTTTAAACCAATAGAATAAATGTTGTTAAAAAAATTATAGTTTAAATTGTAAATTAAATTAACCTTGGTTAGGTTGTTGTTAAAATTTGTTAGGTTGTTAAAATTGGTTAGGTTGCTGTTATTGCTGAAAAGGTCGATGCATTGCAAGGGTTCAAATCTTTCGCATGTTCAATGTATACCTTTTTTTTCGAATTATTTCACTTTTTTAAAACACACAAAAAAAAATCCTATAAAATCAATACTCATTTAAATACTTCTCAAAATACAGAAATTTACTTTTGATTTTTGTAAACTAAATTTACTTAAAAAATAAACTTACTGTTGATAATTGTACACTAAATTATTTTAATTGGAAGAATGTAGAAACATATTTTTTGGAGTATTTATATGTTTCTACTATTATGTTGTCGCATTTGATATCATTTTATAATATCTATTTTTTTCATATATCATATAAAGTTATGGCCATGCAAACTTTCCAACCCACCCTTCTCCCTTCCCTTCCTAAAACAAGCGGGTTGTAAGCTTTGCATGATCATAACTTCAGCGTTTCATCTTTTTTGAACGATATTTGAAATATGCTTGAAGCAAGCGTTGTTTAAAAAATTGCAATTAAAAAATTAAAATGCTAAAATAAATAAAAATTGAGCAAATTGTTTATGTCAAAAATATTTCTTTTATAAAATCCAAAAGATATTTTTTTATATTGGCTTTAATGAATCATTTTATTAACTTATACTTTACTAAAAAAAGATTCACCGATTAGTTAACAAAATTGTAGATTTATCCATTTTAATTAGTGTTATTAATTATCATTCCTTCTGATGATGGTTTAACAATCAAAATGGTCTTTAATTTTACTCAGGATTTATTATAAAATGAAAGTTTGAATTTTGTTCTAGTAAAAAAGTTATTAACATTTTTTTTAAAGTTATAAAGTTATATGAGTTAAAATGTTGAATTCTACAAACACACTTCTGCTAAATTATCATTTTATATTCTTAAATCTCACATTTTTGTCTTAACTTTGTCTTAAAAACTAACTTTAAACTTTTTTTATTGCTTTTTACTACTACAAAAACATTATCAATTTTTAATAATTTTAAGTACTTGTTATAATTTTTCCTGTTCTTTTTACACTTTATTATAAATGCAAGAAAAAGAAAAAAAAAGCGACGTCTTATAAGAAATATGGAGAACTTTGTTTTTTTTAAATAGCAAAAACCTGGGAACTTTGTGATTTTTAAAACTATTTAACTTGCAGAAAAAAAAAAAAAAAAAAAAAAATTAGCTAAGTCAGTGAAAATTTAAAAGAAATGGGCGCTAATGACTAATAAAAAATCTTGTTCAATAGAAGAATATCAGGAAAAAATAAGTTTAAAAAAGTTATTTATTAGAAAAACTCTTTATAGAACTAGAAACTCAACATTAAGAGCTTATGCATCATAGTTAATAATAAGCAAGTGACAGAAAGTGTGAAGATGACGTGTCAGCATTTTTGAGAAATTGTAAAAATGCTAAAAAGCTGTTCATAAGTGGACGTAGAAATAAGAAACTGGAAACAAGCATTAAAGATAAACAAGAGGCACAAATGATTATGATAAAAATTTTTTAATAAAAGCTATTGAAAATGTCTAATATTATAACAATGAACTACCAAGGAGTAGTCGAGAATAAAAATATAATACAAAAAAAAGCAGTCAGATTAAAGCCCAATGAAGTTATTTATAATCAAGGAAATGAAATAAAACATAACTATTTTTGTTGCTTCCTTTGTTAGAGTAGACTTATTATGTTAAAGTATCCAGATGTTATCTAACCAAATAATAATTTTTACCAAGATTAGATTCATTTGCACATATTGCAACCAAAATATCAGAAAATTCAACTAAGTATTGGAAACTCAAAACCATCTTTGCAAGTAAGTTATACTACTTTTTGCAGTTTTTAATGGTTATTAATCTTCGCCTTGGGTTGTGTTTTGATAATTTCTTTCATTTTCAACTTTGAAATTTAAAATTGGGATAATAATCAAAGTTTTTTGGTTGCTCTTCTGTCACATCAGAACCTAAACGGCTAAAACTGTTTTAATTGGAAATATTTTCTTTCTTTTATACATAAACTATTTTTTTTTTTGTTTTAACTTTTATAAATTGAATTATTTTATTCTTTACTTTTTTATTGAAAACTATAACTTATAGTGAAACTATAATAAACAACAAAAAAAAAAAAAATAGTTTGAGAAGCTAAAAAACTTAAAAATAAAGTATAAAAATTTTTAGTAATTGAAAATTATATTCTTAAATTTATCTTCTTTATTTTGAATTTGGTTTGGTTAATCAAACTTTGGTTAGATTTGGTTAAAGATTGCCATTAAATGGAAGAAAAAAAAAATTAAAAGTTTAGAGTCTTCAGTCTCTTTTTGAAACTTGTGCTTTTTTATCAAAAACCTCTGTATCATATATATCTGTATCATATATATCATATATATATCATGTGACAAACGAGCTAGCAAAAAAGTAATTTAATTTAAGTTGATTTTCTTACTAAACAAATCTGATCTATTCAGCGAATGAGTATGTTGATTTTAAAGTAGTTCTATATATATATATATATATATATATATATATATATATATATATA